GACCGACTGAATTTCTAAGGGTGCAGAGGTTCCTTCCTTTCTTCTTGCTCGATTTAGGCCCACACTTTCATCTATTATCTTTGTGCTGAGAGCAGCAGGGTTTTCTGGAGTTGTGTATTTCCATAACACTTCTCTGCTTACCTCTGCGCATCTCTCTGCTCTCCCAGAACACCATCCACACACACACAAATGGTTGCAGATAGTTGAGTATTTGCAATGCAAAGGAAATGAGCATTGCATAACTTCTTCCTTTCCCTTTTTAATATTGCATGGCATTCTCATGCTCTACGATTAGACAGATGAAAGATATCTTTGTTTTGACTTGATCTGCAATCCTTTTCACATTCATTACATGCATGGTAACAAGGAAAAAAAACCATGGTACCTTTGGGCACCATCTGATTCATCAGGAAATTCTTCCTGCGATGATGTATGGGTGGGGAGAACGTGCGTAATATGATCCAGATGCACAGGCTGCCCTTCGCCAGCAATGCAGATGTGTTTTATACACACATGCCCAGATGGTGACCCTTCTGGCATTAGTAATGTGTTCCAGACACCAAGCTTCCTCCTTTGCATGTAAGTGCCTCGATTTCACATTTTCATGTGTTTATTTATGAGGAACAGCATTCCTACATTTCACATGTGGCAGTTACTATTAAAAATGAGAAGTTTTAACTGCTCTGGAAATTGATAAAGAATCATTTAAATTGCTATGAAATGGGGCCCTCATTTCAAAATAACTTTTCGTACAACTATTGAATTTATAATGCAAAGCTCTGACCCTTCTCTTTGCATGTTGATAAAATACGGTGCTGGGTATACACTTTAAAGATACTTAAGAAATTAAATATTTGCATATATAATGCATGGTAACGATTTTTAGCTTTCCCTTCATTTTGATCTCCAAAGCCTATTTTAAAAAGTAGTGTGCCTGTATATCGAACATAGTTATTCATTGTTAATTGTTAATTAAATACAGATATCAACTAAGAGCAATTTGAGATCTTCTAGAAATGGTTCATTCTTATAAATCCACAGGGAGGGAACCCATTTTATAAAAATATAGTCCAACTGTAGCTCCAAACTATTGTAGATTTCAACTCTGTTGATTTGAAGAAATGGATCAGTCTTACAAATTTTGGCTCCTGATCCAAAGCATTTTGATGAGTTAAATTGAAGTGACTCAACTTTTATTCAAAGAACTCATCATTTTTATGGGGAGAAGATAAAAAAGAAATCGTTATTAGATGAAAAATACAAATGACAGATGATCCAATTTTGAAGGATGAAATATCAAAAGTAATAGAGTTTTAAAAGTTAGAAAATGTATAATTTATGATAGATAACTTTCTCTGTAATCATCTACAGGAAAGAAATAACCACAAATACTGATGAGCTCTTTCTAAGGGGCTGTAATTTTTATTGTCAATGCCAGAGAGGGTCAAGGTTGCTTATGCTGAGTTTGAAGGTCAGTAGAGCTTGAATCCTACTCATCTAGATGTGGTTCCAGGTCTTCAAGAAAATATTCTGCTTCCTTGAATAAAAATTCTACCACCTGTATAGATATACTTATCTCGGTGTCATAAATAAAGACTATAACTCAGTCATGAAGTTGGACCACACACACCTCATAGGATAGAAAATTGAAGCAATTATCTAATTCAGAAGAGTAAAAAATATTTCCTTTTCCATGAAAATATTCCCTGGAATTGAAAATAAAAATAAAAATTAGGTTATAGGATATCCCCCTGTGAACTCTCCAGATATTCATATCAGGTTTGTTCTACGGGTATTTTGGTTCAAGTGTATATGTATAATAACAATCTGAATGTTCTCTGAAAGATCTAGAGCAATTCTCGGACTCCAGATCTTCCATTTTCAGGGAGGCGGCATCAAAATGAAAATAAAGAACCCAGGAAACACCTTCTTGTCCAACAATGAAAGCAGACGGTTATGACGTTGCCTTTGTAACTCACATTTTGAAGACCTGTCCAGTAGTTTCTGTTGTTGACCTTAAAAGTCAAGGTCAAGCCCTTATTTAAAGGAGCCAAAAATGTACCCACGGACTTTTCTCCTAAACCTTCCCCTTTCGCCACAAAGGTTAAGAAGTGTTAGGAAACAAATGACATTAGTCTTCTTTATACTCAGGATGATGAGTCTGAGATGCACAAACTCGAACGACTCTTCCCACATCCGGGCAGGTGTCATTTACCAGTCGTGGGACTCTTCACTGCCAAACCAGGATCCAGATTCAGAATCCTCCACAGAGTGCTGCAGGTGCCTCTGAAAAAGAGCTTCTACACTTGGGGACAAAACCTCTTTGCCATTCCCTTTATGTTCGTTGTGAGCAAATAATAGGTAATTAGTCTGAACACATAAAAGACCAGAGGTTACTGCTATTGTCCAAACCTCTCTGCCTCTCCAAAGAGAGAGGACTGGCTGGCCTTAGGTCTTCTCTAAAAAGAAGGACTATTACTACGGTACCCTTGTCAAGTCAGTGACTCACACAGCCCCTGGGACTGGGGACAGCCAGGTTAAAGGACCCTCTTCAGGTTACTTGAACTCTGGTCAATGACATAGTCCACAAAGGGGTTATACAGAGAAGAAAAAGAGTAATCCACACATTGGGCCACCTGGAAAAGGTACCAGCCACCGAAGAAGAGAGACTGGTGAGATGCAGATCCAACAGTCAGGGCAAGGTCGCTAAGCTGCAGAGCACCCTGGGACGGCAGGTGGAACAGGTCCCAGAGCTACCTTTAAGTCACTGACTGTCACTTCCTCCTTAGGCACCGCTGTGCACTTTCACATGGGCACGTGATGGCTCTGGGTAACGCAGCGTGGTTCTTAGGGTTTCCTGCCCAGCATCTCCTTTGATTAGCCCAGGCATCAGTATCCCCAATTTTATAACTCTGGGGAGACCTGTATGTCCAAAACACATTGCTGTTGAGGCTCCAGATGGCTTCTGAAATAGTGAGATGAAAGGAGGTGACAGAAGATGGGTATTTAGGGTTGTCACCCATTTGAATATCAGGTGGACGCACCCGTTCACTCCGCAGCTTGGCATGTGTGGGAAAAGATCATGGTCGGACGGTGAACCAGTAGCTTGGTGCAGCCATGATGGTGTAGGCATCCCCCACAGAGCCGATTCTGAGTGTCATGGAGACACTGTGGTTAGAGTTAGCTCAGTGGCAGAACTTGTGCTTGGCCTGCACGAGGCCCAGGGTTCAATCCTCAGCACGTAAAGATAATTTTAGAAAAAACAATAATGGAAATGCCATCCAGGCCCTCGGTCACTGAAGGAGTCTTTCTGTTCATTTCTCTGACAGCTGGCAACCTTGCTGCAGATGTGGGTCGTCCCTTTGTATTTCACGATAAAGCTTTACTGGTGGCGGTTTCTATCCATGTGGGGAATGTTCTCGGTGATCACCAGTTACATCCTCTTCAGAGCTACCCGAAAACCCCTCTCGGGGAGAACACCGCGGTATGTATTGCATTCCTTCCTTCCCCAGGAGCCCTTTATTTTAAAACTTAAAAGGTAGATTGGACGTCCTTTTCCCTAGGAAGGTGGGGCGGGGCGGTTACACTTCCTCTGAACTTCTTTTACTTTTGTTATCAAAAACTATTTGGAGACCAGCTGTACTACTCTTCATTCACACTCATTGTCTAATGGTGATTCTGACATGCCTGTAAAATGTATAACTTCAGGTATGAGCTCATGAAGGCCAGGAGAAAGAGAAGTGAAACTGTTTTTTAAAATTTTCTAGATCACTGTTTGCATGTTTATTTTTAGCTCAGCAAATAGAGCAACAGTTGAAAGTTTATGCTTCAACCTGAAAATATATATTATAAGGAAGAGGCAAACATTACTCTCATAAGAATTTTTTGTTTTCTTTTTTTGTTTGTTTGGTTTTGGGTACTGGGGATTGAACCCAAGGGTACTTAACCCCTGAGCCACACCCCAGTCCTTTTTTGTATTTTAGTTAGAGACAGAATCTCACTGAGTTGCTTAGGGCCTCACTAAGTTGCTGAGACTGGCTTTGAACTCGCAATCCTCCTGCCTCAGCCTCCCAAGCTACTGATTACAGGCGTGTGCCACCGAGCCTGACTCATAAGGATTATTTAATTGCTATTGCTAATCTCTTCAGATTGAAAGACTTCTGTTGTACCATGCACAAATCTTAAGAGCTTATAATGTGCCTACAGGTTTGTTCTTACTTGTTCTGGGCGAGATACAAATCACCAAGATGAAACTACGATGAGATAATGAAAAAGTATATAAAATTACTCTATATACTTTTTTTTATAAAATAATTTTTTTAATAAAATTATTTCGATTTTTTGTGGAGAGTAAATCATAAGCTTCCGTGTAATAGTTTCATGATTACTTACCCATTTAGATGTTTTATCATCCTGTAAAATAGTAGGAGAGATAAACATTAAACTTTTCCTTCTAGAGAAGAAGATGCAGGGAGATATATAAGATAAATTTGATGATAAAAATTGAAATTCAAATATACCAACTCAAGTTTATGAGTATTTTAATTCCACTGTGGGAAGAGCTTTGTGGCAGTGTTCGATCTTCTAACAACACCAGCCAGGTTGGAGTCTTGGACAGCCATTGTACAACCCCATTTACCCATCAGTAAAATGGAAACATAGCAACCTTTCTCCTTCTTACAATGGGTTATAAGTTAATTAAGATTTAAAGTGCTCTGTGCTTTGGATGAATCCAGATGTACCTGTCTCTCTATATTCATCATATAGAACAGGATCTGTATTGTATTTGAATGAGGCCCACGTGCCCATTGTATAATGAATCACCCTAGCTAAATACAGTGTTTCTGGACCCATCAGTTCACCCAGTGCAGAGGAAGTTTGTTACAAGAAGCACCACATGCTGCTTCATCTTCATGGCTGACATTTCAGATGGCCAAGGTATCATGCCATCTACTTCTGCACATAGCAGGTCCATCTCAGCTTCTTCCTGCCTGGCCAGCTCTGTCCCCTGGAGTACCATCTGAGAGCCAAGAGCTGTCATTAGATCCAGCTGCCATTGGAGGAGACAAAATGGGAGAGGCTAACAAGGGCCTGTTCTAGAAAAGCAGCAAGATAAAGGGACCCCTCTGTATGAGGGGTAGTAGGCCTTTGATTTTTTTTTTTATGGGTCTTTGATTGCTCATGTTGCATATGAGTCAGATCTTAGCTGCCTGCCATTTGGAAGCAGAGGATTTCCTTCCAGGCTAGGTAAGCTGGGCAAAGCAAATCAACCTTGGTGCAAAAGGTGAATTCAAGAAGTGTGGTCTCCAGTACCAACAGAATTTGAAACTCAGCTGTTCCTCCACTGGAGCACGCCAAGCCCCTGCGTGTGGTACAGAATACCAGAGAAGGGGAAGTGAGTTTCCTCTTTACTACTATAGTTGGGTTGTTTGGCAAGCAATGAAGTTTAAGCTCAATTAAAAAAAAAAAAAAAAAAAAAAAAAACACAAGCCACAGAGAACTGAGCTTGGCCACATCAGTTGTAACCCAAGGTCAAGCTCTCATTTGGATGCTGCTTGGCCTCCAATAACATAATTGCTCAATAGCTTCAGAGCTTAAGTTTGAGTCATGAGAAAGTTCTGGACTCTACTATTTCTGGAAACTTGTATCCCAATAAACTGGAAGATTATGATGTGGAAAATCTAACACATTCATCACAATGTTAAAGCATATTGAGCATTAATGTGTTTAGGCCCGTTTTTTTTTGGGGGGGGTGGGTACTAGAGACTGAACTCAGGGCACTTTACCACTGAGCCGTGTGCCAAATCCTTTTTATTTTTCCTTTTGAGTTAGGGTCTCAGTAAGTGCTTAGGGCCTTGCTTAGCTGCTGAAGCTGGCCTAGAACTTGCGATCCTCCTACCTCAGCCTCCAGAGCCACTGGGATTATAGGCATGCACCACCATACCCATCTTGTGCCGGTCTTTTTTTTTTTTTTTTAACATTTTAAATTTAAGTTCTAATTAGTTATACATGACAGAAGAATGTTCTTTGACACATCATACGTAAATGGAGTATGACTTCTCATTCTTCTGTTGTACATGATATAGAATCACACCAGTTGTGTAATCATATATGCACATAAGGTAATAATGTCTGATTCTTTATTCTATTTTCCTAATCCCATATCCTCTCCCCTCCCTTCACTCCCCTCTGTCTAATCCGGAGTACCTCTATTCTTCTCTAGACACCCCCCTACTTACTGTGAATTAGCATCTGCATACCAGAGAAAACATTTGGCCCTTGGTTTGGGGGATTGGCTTATCATGCTTATCATGATATTCTCCAATTCCATCCATTAACCGGGAAATGCCATAATTTCATTCTTCTTTAAGTCTGAGTAATATTCCATGGTGTATATGTACCACATTTCCTTTATCCATTCCTCTGAGGTCTTTTAAACACTGATCCATCATCTCACTATATCATCATCATCATCATCATTATAATCTTCAGTAGGATGTCAAGAGTTGGCAGTATATAACCTTACTTTACAAATGACGCAATCATAGGAAGAAATGCCAAGTAAGTTGGCCAAAGTCCACAGGCGGTGAGTGGCCAGCCCAGGGTCAACCAAAGGCTACTAACTAACACAAAACAGGCTGTGGCTTCATTAAATCAACAAACTATTCTGCACAGACAGACCCTGTAGTTCAATAAGCTGTTAGTCCTGGAACCTCTCCCACACTGGCACAACTTTGAGAGGAGGCCCCTCCAGGCAAGAACAGGGTGTTCCGAGTGCTTGGGGGCAAGGAGCACAGCCTCTGGTGTCGGCTGGCCGTGGGGGCCAGTGGGAGGACCCCTTAGAGCTTGCCCACCTCCCCATCATCACCCCTTTTAGCAACAACCCCCCCCCCTTGATCTGGCTGCACTGAGATCCAGACTGCTCAACACAAGCAAATCCAAAGAACCTGTGGCCCAAGTGTCACTGTGGCAGAAAGACCCCCAAAGCCCCCTCTGGCCTGCCCCACCTCACAGTACCATAAGCCAGCCCAGTGCAGCCTTGCAAGTGCCCAGCTCCACAGGGTCCACCAGACCTGCGGCTCCCACAGGACAGGAGGAAGTGCCCGCTCACGCGAACCTTAGGTGTTGGTTTATTGAAATGGAGAAAGCATTTCACTACAGAAATGATCTAAGTGGCCATTCATTTCTCAGGCTGGCCCACAAGCCCCATTATACCATCACGGTACAGAAAGGCCCATCTACTGGAACTCGATGAGAGAAAGCATCTTTTAAAACCAAAGCTTGCAACAGTGACATCATAGAGCTTAAGCATTCGGTGCATTGGCCCCTACGGGGAGTGAGCTGGAAGGGGAGAGGCTCGGAGGCCAGAGGATGAGGCAGAATCTCCAGTGAGATTCTGAGTGCGGTTTTGGTGTTTGGTGAAGGGCAGGGAAAGGGCAAGGGCCAAGCAAGCCTCCTGCCACTGCTCACCTGGGAGCAATGTTCCAGCCACCCCTGTACTGTCTTCAGGCACCAAAGACAAGCCCCCAGCTTCTTCCACCACTCCCTGCTCCAGTGGGCTTCGCCCTTCTGCCATGGCCCACCAGGAGCAGAACTGGACTCTCAACCTCCTCCCTCAGCCTCCTGTTCTTCTAAAGGCTCTTACAGTCAGGGAAGACGGAAACAGGCAACACATACCACATACCAACAAAGATGTTGTGTCCACCGAGAACTGAAAAATAAATGTTAAAAATTCAAAAAAAAAAAAAAAAGCTCCCTCCAGCTTCCTCTCTCTCCCTCCAGCTTCCTCTCTCTCCCTCCATCCTCCTCTCTCTCCCTCCATCCTTACCTCCCCCTAGACCCTGTGAGAAGAGGGAAGGCCTGGGGCCTCCTGGTGAATCATGGGCTGTGCACATGACCTGTTCACATGGCAGAAGTCAAGGCTCGAGAGCCCTTGTGATGGCTTCCCCAGGGCTACCAGAGGGACTTTTGGGGTGAGGAAGGAGGGCTGGGCCCACGACTGAGCCAGGGATCCAGGGGCAACACCGCAGGAGGGAAGTGGGACTACTGGAGGGGGGCTCTCCCCTCTTGACTTCTCCCATGATACTTTGCTTGTCTCAGAAGCAACTCCTGCCCAAACCACTCTCAACGAAGCCTTCAGCCACAGGAGAGGGTGGGGACGGGAAGGCAGGGTCCCAGGTAGAGGAACACTTCCCGAAAGACCTGATTATGTGACAGACATAGAGAAGCTAAGATGTTTATACCCAGAAACACATGAGCATGAGGGTAGCGTCTATCCACTTGCTGCTATTAGATTAAAACTGTAGATTATTCTTTCTTTAGCAGTATTTTTTAGTTGTGGATGAACTCAATACCTTTATTTTATTTATTTATTTATATGTGGTGATGAGGCTTGAACCCAGTGCCTCACATGTGCTAGGCAAGTGCTCTACCACTGAGCTTCAACCTCAGCCCCAAAACTGGAGATTATTCTTGAATTCAGTGTGTGTGTGTGTGTGTGTGTACACACATGTATACTTATGTGTATCTACTTCTATACTTATGTTCTGTATAGTATGTACTACATCAAATTCTAGAAACTAAGAGTTGATTTGTAACAATGTTTGAAAAAGATAAAATACTTTATGTCACGTGCCATGTCTCTCCCTATTTTTCATTTACAGATTGGTCTACAAATGGTTCCTCCTAATCTATAAGCTCAGCTATGCATTTGGCGTTGTGGGTTACTTGGCTATCATGTTTACAATGTGTGGATTCAACTTAATTTTCAAGTAAGTGTCTTTAATTTTAGGATATGGCTGTCCCAACACTTGCTTGAAATAGTCACCTGACCGTGTTCTCTCATCTGGGAGCATCTGGACCTGTCATGTTCCAGGAACAGAATTTTTATAGTAGATATCCACACAATCATCTTATTATTGGGGGAATCCCAAGAAAAGGAGCACTCCACAAAACAAAAGAAAAAGAAATTAAATTAGGATCTTTAAAGAGAATCGATATACTTGATCTACAAATTTGAAACAACACAATTGAAAGTGGGTCTCCAGTGGTGGTAGAGGAAATCCTTACTGAACTACAAGGTTCCCCTGTGAAATTCTAGAGTCCCGACCTCCTTCACACGCCTTCTTCCTTAAAACCTTTAGAACTTCACTGCCCAAGATGGTGGTCATGTGACCACCAAGCATTTTAAAGACGAAATAAAATGCCGTTAAGTGTAAAATACATACAGGATTTCAAAACCAGAATGAAAAATATTTTTATATTGGAATGATAGCATTTTAAATACAGGTGGGATAAATTTTATCTGTTTCTTTTTACTTTTTTAAATGTGAACACATTTAAAAGATTTAAAATTGCAGTCATGTATCTGTCATTTACTGATGAGAATATGTTTTTGAGAAATGCGTTGTTAGGCAATTGCATCATTGAGAGCCCTCACACAGTGTATTTACACAAACTAAGACAGACACCGTGTCACTAGGTGATATTTTCTTATGGAACCGTCGTGATCCATGAGTCCATAATTGAAATGTCATTATGCATCTCACAGCTGTGTTTCCACTAGACAACACTGGTCTCCACTGAAAATATGTCAGAATTTTGTTGTTAATATCATGAAATCTGTTGTTGGGGAAAGTTGAAAAAGGAGAGAAGTGGGTATTTAGAAACAAACAGAAGGAATAACAGGGCTGGGGATGTGGCTCAAGCGGTAGCACGCTCGCCTGGCATGCGTGCGGCCCGGGTTCGATCCTCAGCACCACATACCAACAAAGATGTTGTGTCCGCCGAGAACTAAAAAATAAATATTAAAAATTCTCTCTCTAAAAAAAAAAAGGAATAACAGAAAAGAAACTCTTGTGAGAAATAAAGAAAACTGGGATAACGGTGTCTATGACTCAGATCTGTGCCCCCATTTGGAAGGAGCTTGCTGGATTGTGCTGTGATGAGATTCTCACAGGCAGAGCTGAGGCTAGTGGTTGCTATTGTATTAAGATTCTTCTCTATGAGCCTCAGGTTTGTTACTATACTTTTTATCAATAAGCTTTTAAATCCAAACTGCCCTGCAGGTGGAGGGAAGATGGTCTTTATCTCTCCACTTCCCTAATCCTCAAATACACCCAAGGCAAATCCTGAAAGGATTCACATCACCAAAAAAAAAAAAAAAAGAATCTATCTCCTAAATCTACAAAGCTTTCTGCTTTTACCATGTTCTCCTTAAATTAACAGAGCACAAAAGCAATCAAAAAGAGATTCTAGACACAGACCACCCAACTCTGCTCCATGTTCTGCTCTGTCTCCAGTGAGTCCCAGCAGGGCACCCAGGCTTTGGAGATTGTCTTACAAATCTAATAAAGCAAATGTGCAAGGATTAAGATTCATCAGTTAAACTAATAAAGGCTAATTATTCAGTTTTTAAAAGAGATCTTTCCCTTTAAAAGGAGGGGCATGATCACAAAAGAATCCTAGTGTATTTAAAATATGATTCAATTTGCAGGGGAAACATTTTTTTGTTGTTGCTCATACATATCTACAATGGCATAAGAGTGATGGGTCTCAAAATCTGAGCTTAATTCTTAGCTTTGTTATGTACCAATGTCATGTGAAGGAAATGACTTTTTTTCTAAGTCACCGTGTTTTCACATGCCAAGTGAGAATAATATCTAACACATTTGTTAGGTAAGAAAAACTATATGAAGGCACTTTGTAGAATCTAAGTGCTAGACCCTTCCTGTACTGGAGAGTCACCTGACAGGATCTTGAAAACTACTACTGGCCAGGCCCTGCCCAGACCAATTAAGCCAGAGTCCTCATGGTGGGTCCATTCACGCACCAGTATATTTTTAGATTTCCCCAGGTGACTCTAATCTATGTTTCATGCCAAGAATCATATCTAGTGGTTTTTAACATTGGCTGCTCATTTGCATCACCCGGTGTACGGGAGCTTTAAAAATCACTGCTGCACAGGCCCCATCCCCAGAGATTCTGATGTAATTGAGCTGGGGTATGGCTAGACATGGAGATGTTTCTATATTCAACCCACCTTGAGACTCCTGGTTAGAATGGACTTACCTAAGCACTGAAAACCTAAGAAACATTTAAAGACTCTAGCAGTATCCCTTGACCTGTGGTTTCACCTTCTTTGGTTTCAGTTACCTACAGTCTACCATAATCCTAAATATTAAATGGAAAATTCCCGAAATAAATAATTTTTAAATTGCACACTGTCCTAAGTAGCCTGATGAAATCTTGTAGTGTCCCACTCTATCCCACTCAGGATGTGAGTCACCCCTTTGGGTAGTACACTCATGCTATCTGTGCTACCTTCCCATTAGTCGCTTAGCAGTTAACTCAGTTAGTTACCAGATGGTCTGTCATGATATCACTGTGCTTGTGTTCAAGTAAGCCTTCTTTTATTTAATAATGGCCTCAAAGCACAAACTTGTATTATAGTGGATTGTTTCAGTTACTCTATCATTTGTTGTTAACTTCTTACTGTGCCTGATTATAAATTAAACTTTATCTTAAGTATGTGTGTGTGTGAGGGAAAAATAGTGTGTATAAAGTTCAGTACTAGCCAGATCTCATGCATCTACTGGTGATCTTAGAACATATCACCTGGGAATAAAGGGGACTACTCAAGAATTCCTTTGTCCATTGACACTGGGTGGTACAGTTGGAAAGAAATTTAGAGAATTTTAAAATGTTTCATATTTTAAAAAAAGAAAAACTAAATAAATAAGTGAAAAAGTATATATCCACAGGGCTCTTTTTTTACATACTATGGCAGGAGATCTTTTCCAAGCTCCAGCTTTTCCTCTGTTCCCCCAAGGCCACTTATTATTCCCTTTTTACTGTTTTCAATAGAATCAAGGCTAGAGATTCCATGGATTTTGGCATTGTGTCCTTGTTCTATGGCCTCTACTATGGGGTAATGGGGAGAGACTTTGCGGAGATCTGCTCAGATTACATGGCTTCTACTATAGGGGTAAGTATTGCTTTCATTGTTTGAAACCATTTATGACACAAGGAGAAATGGTCTCATCTTACATATTTGCATCATTTCCTTTGGTTCTATTTTGATTATTCCAACCTCATTGTTCCCTGGATTCTCCTTGCATCCAAAAAAAAAAATCTTTTTTGATTAATTTGAAAGTACATTTTATAAAATGTTTTTTAAAAGAAAGTACATTTTATATATAGAATGGTTGGAGAATAAGATATCTTCTAAAATATGCTCTTTGTGTCATCATACCTCACATACTATAGTTGGCAATGTTTAAAGGATTCATAAAAGATCAACCTTCCAGGTGCAGTGGCACACACCTATATTTCCTGCAACTTGGGAGGCTGAGGCAGGAGGATTGCAAATTTGAGACCAGTCCCAGCAACATAGTGATCTTGAAAACTACTACTGGCCAAGACCTGCCCAGATCAATTAAAACCTTTTCTCAAAACAAAAGAAGGGCTAGGGATGTGGCTCAGTGGTTAAGCAACCCTGGGTTCAATCCCTGGTACAAAAAAAAAAAAAATCAACCATAAAAAAATTAAAGAAAAAAACCCTGTATCTCTCTGAAAAAAGAAAATGCTGCCTAATGCAAATAAAAATCTTATTTGAGGAACTGGAATGCAACTAAGTAGTAGAGCACTTGCCTAGCAGGCATAAGGTTCTGGATTTGATCCCCATCATTGAAAAATAATTTACATTTGATAGTACATAAAACACTTCATACTCCACAATAATGTAGGGCAATACTTATCATAAAGATTGGTTATAATTACACAGCAACTGAAGAAAGAGAAGATAGAAAAATGTGCTAAACGTGTTCTGACTGGATATTGTAATTGGTGACTAGAAGTGTTTTAAATCTCAAATAGTTGTGGTTCCTTTTATTTCTCCCCCCCCCCTCAAACTCTCTGAAAATTGAAATTCAGAATGGATATACTTTCTGGTTAGATGGATTCCAGACTCAAATCTTAGGAACATTCATCTGTGTCTGGCACACGCACATCTCTAAACACTTACAAACAAAGGGCTCTAGGTTTCAGGTATTCCACATCCTGACTACATGCCTCTGGGTACACAGCCAGATATGAAATGGGAAAATTAGTGTGCATAACAAGAGAAGAGTAGACTTCTTTCCATTTGTGGGGCAGAACCTAAATGGACATGACCTTGACTTCATCTTCACCCCATTTGTCCTTCTGCTCCACCAAGGGCTCTATTACACCCTCCTCCAGAGCCTGCAACCCAACTTCTGTGGTACAATTCATGACCCTTGGAATTCCTCTACCAAGTGTTATCTCTGGGACAAGTGCATTTCTTATAAGGTTCAAGGTGAGCACAGGAGGAGCATCTTCACTTTCTTTTCCAACAAAAAATCACAAGTCACAGTCCTATGACAATTCCCAAAGCCTCTTGTGCTTGTTTATGAACAGGAAAGGAAGAGAAGGGTTGTATGGCTCTGTTCTCCAGTGGACCCAGAAGAGACTTCACTGGGTGAGACAATCAAGGACTTAAGCACCAACTTTCTGTAGCGTTCCCACCTGATCTCATATCTCTGGTCATCAACATCTTGTCATCCTCTGTCATCTTCATTCCATTTACCAAATCTATAAAAACTACTGTCCCAAGCCATTGGCACAGCCACCAATGATTTGGACTAAGGGGGGGAGGTGCTTGGGACTAAGTAAGGAAGAAGCTAAGGGGGAGCGATCACTCTTCCCATACCAGTGCCTGCGCCCACAACAGATCAATTAAGCCAGAATCTCTGGGAGTGACGCCAATGCATCTGCTTCGTTTTAAAAGACTCCTTAGAAAAAGGAATGAACTGACTATTAAGCCATCCAAAAATGGGGGTGAATTTTAAATGCATATGGCTGAGGGAGAGGAGCCTGTCCAAAAAGGCTCCATGCTGTATGATTCTGTTTATACAACATTTTGGAAAAGGCACAACTATAGTGCTGCTAAACACATCAGTGGTTGCCAGGGCCTTAGGGAAGGAGCAGGGTTTAATAGGTGAAGCACAGGGAAGGTTTTATAGTAGTGGAAAACTTCTGTTTGATGCTGGAATGGTGGATACATGACACTCTGCATTTTTCAAAACCCATAAAACTATGTCACAGAAAAGATGAACCTTTATGCATGCAAAATTTAAAAATTATATCAGAGGTCAGAAAAACCCAGGGTAGAAGGTAGACTGTGACAAAAGAATCCAAATGCATTAAAAAAAAAAAGTGGGGAGCAGAATGTGTTATCCAAGTAACTGAAATTCGTAGAGACTAAAAGCAAAATGAATTGTGCTATAGTTGATAAAGTCATTGCCCTCCAACTATGGATTGCAATTTTGATACCACTACTCAAGTACTCTGAAATGGAACCTATAAGTGGATGGCTGATAATGGAAGCTAGGTTTCTCACTGTCTCCATGAGAGATCCCTGCCAAGCAAAGAGAAGAGGTTAGAATGATCTGCGCAGGAATAAATTAGGATGAATAAGAGATATTAGTCTGAACTCCTGATTAGCTTAATACAGATGCAGATGAAGACATACAGAAACATTTTCAGGTCTGTGTGCATGCACAGCTTGGTTCACAAGACACATTTCCTTGCTCTTTCAGTTAAGAGGTCCTCGAAGCAATGACACTCCAGTGGCACACCTAGGACCCAGGGGTTGGTTTCTGGTTCCATTCTGCAATAAAAGAACCAGGGCTTCTTGGAGAAATGACTTCATTAAAGATCTGAACAAGGAATACAGATCTGAACAATGACTTCATTCTCTATGTGAACAGGAGCCTGGAGCATCCTGGAGGACTTGAAAGTAAGGCCATCCTAAAACCAAGACTAGGGGGAAAAAAAATAAAACCATAAGGATGGAGTTGTCAGAGAACCTCAGAAGCAAACCAGAAGAGCTCCCAGTAGCCAGAGCTGGAAGTTAGACAACAAAACAGGAGCAGTACTAGGTTGTAACACTCTCCATCCTCTCTTCCTCACTGTGACAAAAACGCCTCCTAAAACAACTTAAAGGAGGAAAAGTGTATTCTAGCTCATGGTCTCAGAAGTCTCAGTCCATGGCCAGCTGGCTCCATGGCTTTGGGCCCGAGGTTAGGCAGTTACCATGATGGAGCGGTGTGATGGGAGAAAGGTGCTCAGCCCCTCGACTCTAAGTATGCCCATCCTGCCTGCAGGTTCCACCACCGCCCAGGAGTGCATTCAAATTTTTAACCCACTGTTACGGTTTAGATGTCAGTCATCCCCCAGAAGCTCATACGTGAGACAGTGCAAGAATTTTCAGAGGTTCAATGACTAGATTAAGAGAGCTGTAACCTAATCTGTGGATCGGTCCACTGATGATTAATGGTGGGCAGGTAGGGTGTGGCTGGAGGAAGTAGGTCACTGGGGCTGTGACTTTGGGGTTTAGATTTTGTCCCTAGTGATCAGAGGTTCTCTCCCTCTTCCTCTCCCCCCACTTCTTCCTGTTACCTTGTCCTAAGCCACTGTCGTCCGTACACTCCTCTACCCTGGTGTTTGGCCATATCTCGGCCCAAAGCTATGGAGTCAGCTGACCATGGACTGAACCTCTCAAGCCAAGAGTCTCAAATAAACTTTTTGTCATCTAAATTGTTCTCATCAGGTATTTTGGTCAGAGTGACTCAAAAAAAAAAAACTGATGAAAACGTCCATTGAATGGATTCATGCACTGACTAGAACCTAATGAGGCTAGAGCCCTCATGATCCAATTATTTCCTGAAATCTGACATCTCTGTCCCTACCTGTAAACATTGCTGCATTGGGAACTAAGCTTTGAACACATGAGCTTTGGGGCGGGGGGGGGGGACGTTCTGGATCCAAAGCATAACAAAGCCAAGTATAAAATAAACAGCCACATGACCATATTCATGTAAATAAGTGATCAGATAAATAAATAGATGGAGAATAGATAAGTCCATGAGGAAGAGTTCCACATAACTGACGTTGCTGATGGAGGTTGTGATGGTTCAACTTGGGGTCCACTTACCAAGGCCATGGTGCCCAGTTGTCTGCTAAGCTCTGGTCTAGATATTGCTATGAAGGTATGTCATGCATATGATTAACTTCTATAATCAGCTGACTGTAAGTGAAGGAGGTTTACCCTTAGTAATGTGGGTGGACCTCATCTAATCAATTAAAGGCCTAAAAAGCAAAACCTGAGGCTTCTAGAGAAGAAGAGATCCTGCCTCAAGACAGCAGCACCAACTCTTCCCAGGGTCTCCAGCCTACTAGCCTTTCCTGCAGGTTTCTGACCGACAGTCCCCATAAACATTAAAATGAATCAGTAATTGTAATAGAGGAAATGAGGTGTATGGAACATGGGTATGCTATGTCTGTGTTGATCTCTTTAAAAAAAAAACTATTATAAAATAAATATTTTATTGAAAAAAAAAAAGTATTTCCTAGGAACTCTAATGTGCTACTAATACTGAGAACCACTTCTCATCCACAGAAGATGTAGTATCCCAAGTTAGAATTGTGGTGATTAGTCTGTGTGCTCCCCAACCAGAACATGGGAATTAAGGAGGGGCAGGAGGAGATGCCAGGATTTTCTGCAGATCTCTGAAACAGAATCTCCAGGAGAAAAAAAGAGAAGGGCCAGATGAAGAATAAACCCAAAGCTTCCCTTACGATTCTGAACTACTACCCTGGATAAAAGCAATTCGTTTCCAGGAATTCCTAAATACTGAGGTTCAAAGGGTGGTTACAGGTGGTGATGCGCTTTGGGTCCACCTGGGATTCAGGGTTCCACCTGGTAACTCCTCTGCAGCACGGGCCCCCCAGGAAAAGATGTCAAGTTGTCACCCAACTCAGAAGCAATGAAGACTCCATGCACCAAGGGCTGCCTGTCCAGCACCTGGCCGTGGCTGCCCTGCGGTTAGTGGCGGCTGCTCTCCTGTCCAGCAGCACTCTGTTTTTCCCCCAACAGTTCTACAGCGTCAGCGGGATGCCCACAAGGAGCTTGGCTGACGACATCTGTGCCGTCTGTGGACAGAGGATCATCGTGGAGCTGGATGAAGAGGGGCTCATTGAAAACACCTACCAGCTGTCGTGTAATCACGTGTATCCTTCCCTGGGAACCCGAGGCCTTCCTCCTTCCTCAGGCCTCTGTCTTGGTCCCCCTCCTCCTCCCGTCCCCATCTCCTCTTCCATCTCCAAGTCCCAGACCTCTGTCCTCCAGCCCAGTCTTGGGAGACTTTCTGATAATCTCTGCTGAATAATGAGCTGCCAATTAAAATGAACTCCAGTAATGTCCTTTTTCTTTTTGGTGGCAGTACAAGGGATTGAAGCCAGGGTGCTTACCACCAAGCTATATCCCTAGCCCTTTTATCTTTATTTTGAAACAAGGTCTCACTAAGTTGCTGAGGCTGGCCTTGAACTTGTAATACTGCCTCAGCCTCCGGAGTCACTTGGATTACAGATGTGCACCATGTGCCTAGCCAGTAATTTTCTTTTTAAAGAGGACTCTTAATGCCACGTGGCCAGAAAGGCTGCAGCACCTGAGCAGGATGTTACCTGCGGAAGCTGGCAGAAGCCCCAAGTGAGCACACAACCAAGAAGGACTAGGAAAAGAAGGAGATTAAGGGTGAGAGAAAGAGTAAAAGTAGAGGGTTTTGGTGGAGTTTAGGCATAGAGCATGTGATGAACATGCATGAGGTTCCAGGTTCCATCCCCAGAACCAAAACCAAAACAGAACAGTGAAGTGTCAGGTGGAGGGAAGAACTCAAGACTGTTGAGGAGGAGCTGGTGTCTGAATTTTTGTTTTTTTCACAACCAGGGATTGAACCCAGGGTTGCTTATCCACTGAGCCACATCCCCAGCGCTTTTTTGTTTTTGTTTGTTTTGAGACAGGGTCTCACTAAGTTACCTAGGGCCTTGTTTAGTAGCTGAGGCTGGCTTTGAACTTGCAATCCTCCTGCCTCAGCCTCCTGAGCCATTGGGATTAGAGGCATGTGCCACCACGCCCAGCTTGGTATCCGAATCTTGGTGGGCCAAAAAATCTAAAGTGTGCTTTTTCCTAGAGAAAACCCTAGGAGCCCCTTGTAGAAACAGGAATCATAGCGGGTGGCCAAGGGAGAAAACCAAACTCCTTCATCAGCTTTTTTGGAAGAAGTGTTAAAAATAATCGTGCCACAAGCAGCAGAACACCTTAGATGACAAAAGGAAGGCCCAATGTGTGACTTCTTGGTCTTTAATCACTTGGCTCCTCTGTCTGTGGGTTCTTCCTCCAACAACTCTCTATTGACTGGGCATCTTGATGTGGGAGGTATCAGATAAGCCAGACCTGGAAGCTAGCATTATTGGGGAACTCCAGGCACCCCTGATAAGGGCCTCAGTAGATTGAAAAATGCTGGCATCAAGAATCATGAACAAAGCATGGGCCGTCCAAGCATGTAACTATGGATATCCAAGTTGTGTTTGGGTTGGCCAACAGTCCATATTTTAATTTGTTCCTAAATAAAAAAAAAATCATTTATCTTTATTTTATAATACAGTATCAATTTTATAGCATTATCTCTGTATATCCAGCCAAATCAAAGCTCTGGCATTATGAAATGGTTACACCAGCTGTCGTGTACCGCTGACACACGCCTAATTCAGTCAGTAATACCTAATGCCGTCGATGTGCAGGGCCCATGATTCAATTCTGTTTAACCTGGACAGTTTCCACTTATTCAGTCCTGAGAATAGAATCAAAAACTGGTCCAAATGCATCTCAAATGTGTAATAGGAGCCTTTTCTCCACCATGTAAGCCTTAAAATTTTAAGGGAAGAAACACAGAAGATATCCCATATTGCATTCTATAGTGGCTTTTCAGTAGAATACTTTTCCCAAAAAACTATCAGTGTAAGTCAAAATTTTCCAAGTCTGGCCTTAGTTTTAAATGTTTTACTTTTCAAATGTTGGAACACAGCCCCTTCTTCCATTTGCAAGTGGAAATATTTTCTCTTTCCACCTTTAAAAGCCCTTAGAGATGGTGGTACATATATGTATATGTGATCTAAATGTAAGTCACCTTTAAATTTGCTTGCAGGGAGTATTTCTCATGGCACATTTTTAGCATGAGTCATATTAGTGAGGAGTGGGCCACCATGAGTCATATTAACAAGCAGGGATTATCTGAGTATTGCTCCAGGTCAGTTCTGTCAATGTGCAGGTTTTTCAGGATGAAGATCTTGAAGATGAAAGAAAGAACATGTTAAGAAGAAATGGACATTTTGGTACTGGCTCTATGACCCCTGAACTCCATACCCCTCTGAAAGATGAAACCTTTACTCCATCCCTTCTAAACGGAGAGCTATATGGATTTTTTGGTTTAAAATCTTTGTTGTAACACAGCACTTTGTTAATCCAAGCATATTGGGGGAAAAAAATGTCCCCAATTCCAAGAACATAAAGTAGTGGAAACTCTGAGTTGCATAGAGATCTAGTATTGAGGAATTGTGGACATGGCCTTCACGGGGTTATTCTCTGTGGTCCTCCACTTGTTAGGGAGGGGCCGTCTACATCATTGCTGTTAACATGGGAGCATGGCAGGCTGGTCAGAAGACCATGTAATCTTGGCCCTGAAAGTCACACAGGGAACAGCGATTTTAGGAAGCAAATAAATCAATAAGATGACCTCACTATAGTTAATCATTTTGCCCAAATCTGCAATATTGGGGAACCTAGAAATGCTTTTTTTCCAAAAATAATTGGTTTTGAATGATCCATTCATATATTCATTCAAACAGTATTTCTTGGGCACCTGCTTAAGGTGCTGGGGACACAGATGAGTGAGTCATAGTCTCACTGGTAAGGTGTGGCCTAAGGGAGACATGTATGTACACAGAAAGTCATGATGCATTGGAATAAGTCCCTGGTGGTGTGCAAAATCATGGGGTTCACTCTCCGCTTTAGGGGCAAAGCGTCCGACCTTCTGAAAAGGGTGATGCACACAAATGGATCTGTAAGTGGCTAGAGTTTGAGAAGTTCAGATTTTTGAGCTTATATTCAAAATTAAAAATAATTGACTCCTTATCAGTAATAAAAAGAAAGTTGAGGAAAAAACTTAAGAAGTCAATTAAAAGGTCTGTAAGTTTAGAAATGGGGTAGTGTGGCTCAGTGGTAGAGCATATGCTTAGCATGTGTGAGGCCCTGGGTTCATCCCTGGCACCAAACAAGCAGGCAGGGGGGAGAGGGGTGCGGGGATATATCTGTAAGTTTATGATCACAAATAATTTAAACTTGCCAAAGTGTCTAAGACAAAGTGCATAGAAGTAATGCACAAAAAGAAAAATTGTGGTGAGCACATTAGAAATGGAAAAATACAGAAGGTAGTGAAACAAAATAGGCTCATGTAAGACAAAAGCTTCCTCACATCCTTTATCAGACTCTTAGCAGACTCAAGGGAGGGAAGAACAAGTCAGGCCAAGAAGCTACGAAGATTCCTCAGGTCAGAAAGCTAATGCGGCTCCCACGTCAGGCCCTCTGTCCCTGGGGTTACCATTGTCCTAGACAAAGCCCTGCCAAAGGGCTGTGCACAGTCCAGCCACGACCGACAGCCATGCTGGCCTCTAACGGTGGGTGATGTCCATGTCACCCTGAGCCAGACATTGCCACTGACTATCCAGAAGCTTCCCTAACAAGATGCTTCAGCTTTCACGAATTCTGCATCCGAGGTTGGTGTATTGTTGGTAAGAAGCAGACCTGCCCTTACTGCAAAGAGAAGGTTGATTTGAAGAGGATGATCAGTAACCCGTATCCTTTTTAAAAAGTGCCATGACCCTTACCTTAAATGTTTCTGGGGATGTGCTCTTCCATCTAAACATTTATTGTCTTTGCATAGTTACAGCAAAAAAAAAAAGTTTCTGTTCTCTCTAGCAATTTATTTCACCACATTTAAAATCTCTTGTCTGTGCCTATATTATTCTGGTTAGAAAGTGGAGTGCCCCCAGTATTCCACTCTTTGTGTTTCATATTTTCCACATCAAGGGATTTAGCAGAAATCGGATGAGACCATGTGAAAGATAAGTAGATTATATGGAAAAGTAATCCAGATAGGTGGATGAATAGATAGAGGGATCGATATTTAAATGGTTAGACTGAATGAGTGAGTGCAGGGACTGAGAGATAAAATGGAAAATTTAAAAGCCCCACGTGTGAATTAAAATATAGAGGAGTATTTTTAGGGTGTACCAAATTTGTTTATTACCAGAAATGAGTAAATTTCCCCCCCACCCTGGATGTTAGCGTTTTAGATTCCGCAGCATGCCTAATCTCTTAGGCTAGGTCTGGTGATGATGAGATTGAGAGGAAACAAGACTCACAGCCTTGACCAGCTCATGGCATGCCCCCCACCACTGTATACAGAAGGGCAGTGAGTGCTGGCATGGCCCTCTCTTCCCATAAGACACACTTGCTAAGAGACACCTAAACCTTGCAGGTTAAGGAAGCAGCCTCCTTGTTCCCATCTCCTCTCTCCCCAGCAGCCCTGAATGTGTGGTCTCCTGGGGGCTGCTGACAGCAGAGCACATGGCAAAGCAGGTGGAGACGTCCACGGAGGGCCTCAGAACAGCAGACAGTCCGTGGGCCTTGGGGTCTCAGGCCATGCTGTGGCAACAGAGCCCAGCCTCAACAGCCACCTGATCCTTCACAGGCCTGGCCTCCAGCCTGCTGCCCAACTCAAGGCTGGGGGTGCACAACTACCTCCTCCTTCTTTTCCATCCACTGTCCCGAATTTCCCTGCTAACAGGAGGAAATGGAGTCCAGTACAGCTTCTGATTCATAACTTGTAAAACTGTAATACATAAACCTTTGTTATAAAATTAGTGATAATAGCTGGGCGAGTGACACACGCCTGTCATCCCAGTGGCTTTGGAGGCTGAGGCAGGAGGATTATGAGTTCAAAGCCAGCCTCAGAAAAAGTGAGGTGCTAAGCAATTCAGTGAGACCCTGTCTAAATAAAATACAAAATAGGGCTGGGGATGTGGCTCCATGGTCAAGTGCCCCTGAGTTCAATCCCCAGTACCCAATTAATTAATTAAATCAATGATAATAGGCTCACAAATGTAACCTTAGATGAGAGTTTAAATACCAAAGGATGGTTCAGTGAATCATTTCTTTATATAGACTGAAAAGAATGAAGTGCTAAATATTAC